TTTAACATGTTAAATCTGACAGTCTTCCCTCTTTTCCTGACTTCCACAGGAGGAATCTTACCAAGCTGTCTTTGATCTTCAGCCACATGCTGGCTGAGCTGAAGGCCATCTTCCCCAATGGTCTGTTTCAGGGTGACAACTTCCGCATCACTAAGGCAGATGCTGCAGAGTTTTGGAGACGCGCCTTCGGGGATAAGTAAGCACATTTGTGTGTGTATTATCATAGTGGTTCCTGGAAACTTAAAGAGTCACTTTTAAATTGTAAAAAGGAACTTCAATAGTGCAAATCAGTAAGAAGATATATGGTGATGTGAAAAGAGAATCTGTAGTTCTGTGAAAAACTAAGTGCTCCTTTCCACGGAGTTGAGAGGATAAATAGCAGCCATTCAAATGAACTAGATTTATTGATTATCAGCAACTTTGATCAGCTCTACAAAAGCAAAGGTTTCAGCTATTTGCTGGTCTGGATGGTTCAGATTTGTGTTAACAAAATGCCACAATCTCATCAGTACATCAGTGGACATCCCAGCAAATTCAGGAGAAAACAAACTCAAACGACTACAGAGCTCTATCTCAGACTCAATAGTCCGGCTGTCAAGCACGGTGATGGAGGGACGATAATTTGGGCTTATTTTGCAGCTACAGGACCCGGATGCCTTGTAGTTACCGAGCTCACCACGAACTCATTTGTGTATCAAAGTATTCTAGAATCATATGTGAGGTTGCGCAGCAGGGTAATGATCACAACAAGCACAGCAGCAAATCAAGGTGTTGTAATGGCCCAGTCAAATTCAAGACATCAGGTTGATTGAAATGCTGTGGTGGGACCTTAAGAGAGCTGTGAATTCATAAATACCCACAAACCTCAGTGTGCTGAGGCGACGGAAAGAAGAGCAGGCCAATTCCTCTGCAGCAATGTGAGAGAAAAAATAAGATTACTTCCAATTATTGGTGCTAAAGGTGGTTCTACAAGTTGTTCAATCATGGGGTATTTTCTGTTTTTCACAGGATTGCTGAGGAAAAAGGTCTTTTTTTTTTTTTTTCTTTCCCCTCTCACATGACTCTGTGGAACATCTGAGAGGAGAAGGTTTTGCCTTCTTTCACAGAAATCAGACAATGAATATCTTCCCTGGGACAAATGTTGGTCCAGTGACTAAAGAACACTAATGTCTTTTTGTGGTTTATTCACATGCAACTATGGACACAACTAATGTTCTGTGCGCACATTTTGGTTAATCAGTCACTATATACACAGACAAGTCAGATACCAAGGGGATGTAATCATCCTAGGGAACAATCGTTAGTGTGTATGCGTAATTATTCCCTAAAAGAAAAGGGATTCATAAATATTGCAAAGTTGAGTATATTGAAAATGTTGGTCAAAGGACTGAAATTCAGTTCACATCAGGTTTATATTTATGTCCAGTACAAAGATGACTTGAATATAATAGCATTTCCTCTTTATCAGATGTTAATCACTGTAGGTTTTGCACACAGGCTATTCATGGCTGCATTTCGAGGTATGTTAGATACAGACATACCAACCATAACCAAGTTAAAACCAAAACTCTTATTGCACCTTTACCTTCATTGTGCAAGACAGCATGCTGGTAGCCTACATTTAAGAATCATTATTTATGAGCTTTGAATTCTTGATGCGTTATTACACTTTTTTTGAGGGGATGTCATCATCCAATGTGTGTTTTTGTGTGTTACAGAACCATTGTGCCTTGGAAGGTATTCCGTCAGTCTCTCCATGAGTTTCATCCCATCAGCTCTGGGCTGGAGGCTATGGCCCTAAAGTCCACCATAGATCTAACCTGCAATGACTACATCTCCGTCTTTGAGTTTGACATATTCACCAGGCTATTTCAGGTAGATATCACACAGATGCACACTGCATCTTTCTCTTTGTTTTATAGTGGTCTCCTGAGCTAATGAAAGCAGAAATGTGCAAAGGAAGAGAGAGACAGAGAAGACCAAGATGGAGAGTAATTCCTAGAGGTTTGTTAGCCTTGGTCTAGGAAACGGATTTCATTTAAGCAGAACATAATGAACTTAAACTAATCAGCCGCATCTTTTTTTGCAGCTAACTCTATCAACTTATTAGCAGGATGTCTGTTGACGTATATGCACCATCAGACAGCACTGACAATGAAAGTTTCCTCCTTCTCTGCCCAGCCAGTACACAAGGATATGTTCGGGAATTATTTTTCACTCTTTAATAGGCATCTGTTGTTGCATCATGTGGCCTAGATAAGTCCGTTTGTGCTAGAGAGCGACACTGCGATCTTTCTCAAAGAGTCATTAAATGTGCTTCCCTGAGGTATTTTATTACTTCCAGAAAAGTAATAAGTAGCAAGGTTGAAAGTAGAATAGTAGAAGTAGAATTTCTTTGACATGAAATCTTTGAGAGGTTAAGAAATTAAACTATTTTATTTTGCTATCCCCTAAATTAACTGTGTTTTATAGCTCATATTACTGGTTGTCTACTTGCATCCTGTGTCAGAGGTTAAGGGCTAAATACAACCCACAATTTATATTTCACAATCATGAAGCAGCGCATTTGTTTCTGTGCCATTTTGTCATATACTTCTGGTGTGCAAGTGCTGCAAATTTCTCTAAGTATAGAATGAGGACAGATAAAAAGAAAAAAGCAAAGCATATTGGGAAGGGGAGCACAAAGGCTGCATTTATCTACCTTCTTCAGGGCTTATCTGTATTTTGTAGTACAAGTTCTTTGCATCAGTATTGCAATTAAAACTGTATCGAATGAGAACCACTGATCTCTCGAGTGAACCACAATTTCTTGTATGCAACAGCTAATGTTTATTCCTCAGTGACATCACCCCTACTTATGTGTATGTTACTGACAGGCTTAATGAAGCCTAAACAGATTACAGACATTTCCTATGGCACTCCCTCTTACAAAAACGTCCTCCTCTAAATGTCCTCAAACGCAGAAGAGGAAGTGAGCCTGTGGCCATTTTAAGCTCTGTCCTTGATATGCAGCAGACTGTTATTTTTATTTTTTTATTTTTTTATATTGCTTTAAAAGCCCTCTCAGATATCTCATCTCTCTTCATGCAATATCTTTAGGCTGAATTATGATTTGATTATAAATAGGCACATAAGAAAACATGCATTCTTAGTGCAGTTAGGTGAAAACGGAGTGGTTTAGGATGAGTTGCCCTTCAAATGTCGTTAAGATGTACCTGAAAAGTAATTGTACAGTTGCTGGATATAACCTTACTCATCAGACTTTATTGCACTTATTTAGTGCAGTCTGTTAGGAGAAAAAAAAATACTAAAGCCTACAACAGACATGTGATAAAATATATTCCAGAAAAGAGTCCAGAGGAGACAGTTTTGACTTGTCACTTCCTGTGTTAAGTGCTGCTTACTGCAGAGCCAAATGGGCGGCGCTGGACCACGTCCAGCTCCCCCTCTCTGTGATTAAGGTTAGATTGAGACTGGAGCTGGAGCTGACTGACTGGATGGGTGTCCATTAACATGTTTGTGTCTCCTCAATTTTGCAGCTCACGTTAAGTGTCATATGTGTTAATTCTGCTTCCTTTCACACATCAGACAGACTAACGATAGCAATTGCAGAACCACCTACTCACCACAGCATGCATTCAGTGAGTGTGCTGTGGAGTAGCATGATTTTTTTTTTTCCCCTCCCTGTTCTTCATGTTAAATTTTTACTAGTTATTGTGAGCATTTCTGGATGTGGGTTAAGTCGCCTTTAAAGAAATAAATATGAGCTCCTATAAACCAGGCTTTTTTCTCTCTCTTTTTTTTTAATGTACATTATGGAAAGCAGTCTACTAAAGTCTAGGAGTCTTCATTCTGTGATCCAGGTGGTGCCAAATGAGTTGCTTTGCTTAAAATACCTTTTTGCGCAGATTGATCCCGGTCATTGTACATCACAATGAGGTTTTAAACCTTGAATATCACCAGTGATGCAATATATTTCACTCTTGCTGTGCTCATTCTGTTACTGCCATGTACATTCACACATCAGATGACTCACTTTCTCTGTGTGTGTGTGTGTGTGTGTGTATGTGTGTGTAGCCTTGGTCATCCCTGCTGCGGAACTGGAACAGCTTGGCAGTTACTCACCCGGGGTACATGGCCTTCCTCACCTACGATGAGGTCAAAGCTCGGCTTCAAAAGTTCATTCACAAGCCTGGCAGGTGAGATATCATGATACCAGACATCCACACCAGACTTCGTGAAATATTCATCAACACTGAATGCCTAACATGGTTCATAAAGCATTAGCTATATCAGACATAGATAGATAATTGTATAGGAACTTAATCGAGCATCACCATTTCTTTTTACCAGTACCACCTTGTAGTTGCTTGGTAACTTTACAGTCTGTTGTAATCTATAGATTACTTGGACATATTGCACAATTTGGTGAAAAATGCTGGGTGCAAAAGCAGAATATGCAACACGGGGCCAAAACAAAAAGCCTTGTTTTGCTATTCATGCAGCCCTACACAGAACACATATTCACTGCACTGCACTGTGCAGTGCAGTGAATACATAAAGCATAACTGCCCATTTGTAAATGCAGTTCATACCCAAAATGTTTCTACCATTACGGTGACCTTTCATTGTATGTATTTTTACAGTTTAGTTTTCTATCAACATATATTTTAGCACTGAGCAACATGATTCTGTACATTATTAGACACACGTCTCACACATCAAATCATCACTCTGGCAACTGGATAGTTGCACCCAGGTCCTATTTTTGTCCCTGGTAGAGGACAGAGAGGGCACAGTTTTAACCTTAATGCCAGATTCACTCACAATTAATGCAAAAGTTTGTGTGTTCATGTGTTTTAGTTTGTGTGTGAGGAACCCAGGGCAGCATGGCACTGGTACCTTGCATCAATGGCCTGATTGTACGCTGAAAGCTGATGTCACTTTTCAGGCCTGGCCCGTGTAGGGCCACGTTGACATTGGAGCAGTAGTTACTGGTTGATGTGAGTGCAGCGTTTTTGACGCTCTAAATTACTGTGCCCCATTAAGAGAATGATGTTGGTACTATGGGTACAACAGTTCTGTGCTAAAGATCGAGGCTGTGACCAACACTTAGTCTTGCCAATTTTTAAGCCTATTTATTCCTTCCTCTTTTTTCTTTCATTTCTGTATACAAATTGGTCAGCTTGTGCAGTTAACTAGAGAAGTGCATATTGGGGGGAGTGGTCCATCTCTTATCTCTTCAGTTTTGTTCTTGCCTTTCTACTGTCCATCCCACGGCACAAACGGCTATTTTTATCTGATATAACATGCTGTGCATTCACCTCCAGCTCCACAAAAGTGTCATTCTTATGAACCAGTATTAGTCCAGTTGCAGTTGATGTTAGTTATTGATCTTTTATTTTGATAAGCAGTGATGGGTTTTGTGTCTCTGTCATTCCTACACTCAGTTCTGTCCCAGTTGTCTTCTTTAGCAACGTCGAATGGTAACTACGGCAATGGTGTAAACGCAGCTGCTTTAATGTTTCTATAATGTGTTATATACACGGAATGTAATGTGTGTGTCTGTGATGTGTATCCCATGATCTAGTATATATGTATGTATATATATGTGTTCAGTATTGTAATGAAAATGCAAATTAGAAAAAAGTAGCTGATTTTGCCACATTCTGTTATGCATGTTTATTATGCAGCCTGCATATTTTCATTTGGATTGTGCTTACTTGGAAGGTATTTCTTGTGCACATTTTGCAGACACTGCTGCCCTTTTACTACATTTCATCTCATTGTATTTTATTACTTTTTTCAGAGTTAAATCTGACCATTTAACACCATTCAAGCTCTTCTTATTTAAAATTTTCCTCTCTTCTCAGTTACATCTTCCGACTGAGCTGCACAAGACTGGGCCAGTGGGCTATTGGCTACGTGACTGCAGATGGAAATATACTCCAGACCATTCCCCATAATAAACCCCTCTTCCAGGCTCTCATTGATGGTTTCAGGGAAGGATTGTAAGTCAACTGGCATTTTGTGAGCCTCACTTAAAATCATGTCATTTTCTTGCAGCTTTCCATCCAGAGCTCTGAGCTTCTGTTTTTTGTCTTTGTCACTGGTTCAGTCTTGATTCCCTTAATTCGATGTAATTTTTACTTGCAGAGCGCCTCTTTTTCTCTCGTTCTCCTGTTCTGTCCTTTCTTCCTACAAAGCTTGCACAGTTTTGTGTGTGAGATTTGCTCTAAGCCAATTCAGACATATCATTTTACATGTTCCCATCATTCCAGTGTTCTAACCACAATAGAGTTGTTGATTTAGCTGACTGGCGTAAAACTCATCTTTTTAAGCCAGCGCTGATTCCTTTGTTTAATAACAGTTATAGTTGGTCCGTTCCACCATGTAATCAAATGGTGATTTCAAGTGGGAAATCTTGAAAACTTTTCAAAGCTTATAAATCGTATCGCCTCTATCTTCGAAACATTTATCAAATGGTAATTACAGAGTCTGACTCATTTAGAAAACACTCACGTATTGTACATGCACAAACTCGTAGCGAATGAATGGACTGAACAGATGTTTTCATTACTGCAGCCTGTTAGGTATACATGCCACATAATTGCAGTAACTAATAATGATCATTACTTCTAAATTAACATACCTGCCAAAATACCCAGGGATACTTTATATAGATTTACTAATTTGTTGTGTCTCTACATCTGCAGCTATTTATTCCCTGATGGCCGGACTCAAAATCCTGACCTGACAGGACTGTGCGAGCCTTCGCCTCAAGACCATATCAAAGTCACCCAGGTCAGAGCAGCCTTCTTCTAAGACCCTTGAAAACCCTGTTTTTTCGTGTGCTTTTTATTTTATTGCAGTGTTAAAATGGTTTGTTACGTTTGGATGACTAAACAAAGGATTTAAACAATTTATACATCTGTTAATAAGATTGGTTCCAATAGATGGGATCCAGTACTGATCACACTCTTACAGCAGTGCATCCAGTGGGAGTCCTAAAGAATTTTGAGCATTATCAACATCTTTATTCATAACTTTGTTTTAAATACTGTAGAAGATCTTTTCAGACTCATACATGTTCTCAGAATTTTGTAAGTACAATGAACAGACTCATTTTGCAGCCACTGGACTGAAACTCAAACTACACCCCCACAACTATCTATTGCTCTAGATCCTTCCAGGCTTTTTTTTTTCTCTTCTCCTTTTTTTTTTTTTCTTTCAAAAGGATCTCAGGTGCTGTTGTTCCTGTGTGATGTTACCGTCTTGTCATGTTTTTTTTTTTCTCCCCGCAGGAACAATACGAGCTGTACTGTGAGATGGGCTCCACTTTCCAGCTTTGTAAGATCTGTGCCGAGAACGACAAGGATGTGAAGATTGAGCCCTGTGGTCATCTCATGTGCACTTCCTGTCTCACTGCCTGGCAGGTACAAGAGTGGGTGTATGCAAGGGGGTTTGTGTGGGTTGTTCATGTGTCATAACTCAAACCTGTTGAGAAGTGAATTGTCTGTTGAAGTGCTCTTTTATTCAGACATGTCAGACACAAAAAGAAAAAAACCCTTTTCTCATCTCTGCATGCTCTAACCATCTGCCTTTTGGCCTGTGTTGCAGGAGTCAGAAGGTCAGGGAACAGGATGTCCCTTTTGTCGCTGTGAGATTAAGGGTACGGAGCCGATAGTTGTGGATCCTTTTGACCCAAAGGACAACAGCGGAGGGTCTTCCAGGAGCACATTTGGGGCTGAGGGTGCACCCTCACCCAGCTACGACGACGATGATGATGACAGACTTGAAGACCCTCATCTAATAATGAGCAAACTTGCCTGCACAAAGGTAAGACGGTGACAGGAGTCGGACTTGACCAAAAAAAAAAGTTACTTCACTCAAAGTTTCCAGTCGTGGCACTGGGTGAGCTATTCTGGTCTTTTTCTATTCATAAAACATTGAGGCACTTAACACCCAGAGTGCACCTCACAGGTTCCTGCTGTCCTCTTATCTCCTGCTTTTCTGAGAGACCCTGTGCAGATGAAACGCTCCTTGCCCTGGCCTTTTCACTTCTTGTGAGCTTCAAGCTCACATCTCCTATCTAAAGTCTTTCATCTCCATCTTTCATGGCACCAAGGTAGCAGCTTTTTGTGCCTCTTTGTATTTGATATGTGGGGAATTCTCCTGTCTTACATCTTTTATGTACCTCTGAGAAACTCTGTGTGCATTAATCTGTTTATAGAGCAGGCGAATACCTGAGATCATACACACTTTGATGTGGTCCCGGGAATTTCTTTGGCTTTGATTGCTGGCCTGACCTCTTTGACCATTTACTCTATATTTACTCATTTCTTGTGCGTACTTCTTTGTTTCATCTGTGTTGAAACAAGATACGTTTGAGGAACTGCAGAAAAAATAAAGCTCTAATATTGAACAGTGCTGTAAAGTAACCTTATAAGGTTATGAGAGTTTTCAGTTGGCCTGATGTTATTGCAGAGATATGAGAGGAGATTTGTGATATTTGCAAAATGAGAAGTGGCATTTGGACTCCGTCTGATTGTGTTTGAATAATGCTGATCAGATGAAATCTGTGTTTGGCTCTTTTGTGCGTCATCCAGGTGGAGCGTCCCCCATCACCTATGTCTGGGACTCCTCAGTCCTCTCTTCCCCCGGTGCCTCCCAGACTAGACCTATTACCGCACAGACCTCCCAACCCCCCTGGTGCCTCCAGCCCTGGAGTCAGCAGTAAGGTAACTAAATGTACACAAGAAGGGATTGTAAAAACTTACAAGTCTAATATTGATGTCCAGTCTATGTACAGTCGAGTGTGTCATGCCTTAGTGGGTGCCTAATCCTAATCTACTCAACTTTTGTGGTGGGTTCAGAGTCAGAGCAGGTAAGAAGGGGGAGGGGGAAAAGCCTAAGATTGAAAAATAGACTAGCTATGCGCTCGGAAGAACCTACGCGTAATGCTCCTTCATACAGGTAAGGAATTTAAAAATGGCGGTCACAATCATCAGGGCATTTTATGCTCAGATTTCCTTCTCTGGGAAATTGCCATATTTCCACATTTTTATTATCTTTTAAATGTAGATAAAATGAAACTGCAGATGAAAAGCTTGATTATTCTGCACATGATAAACAGCATCTTTGCTTGGTGTTGTTCATCTAAGTTTTGTGTATTGTTGGAAATGATGACTAATGCATAAACAGTGTCTTTCTTGCTAAATGGATTACTTCCAGCACTGAAGATAACAGCACAGAGCTTTCTTTGGTTTCACATTAATATCGCATGTAGTCTAATTGAGATCCCTCCTCCTTGGTTTTTCCCTCCAGGCACCATCTCATCACAAAGACAAGCCTCTTCCCCTTCCCCCAGCACTGCGTGATCTCCCCCCTCCCCCTCCTCCAGACCGTCCCCACACAGCCGGGGCAGCCCCTGATGGACGGCTTCAGAGGCGGCCCTTGCCCAGCACACCCGGGGAGCCCCCTCGCGATAAACTCCCTCCTACACCCCCAAACCGACCCCTGTCTGACTGGACCTCCAGGCCGGTTCCCAAGGCTCCCACCTCCTCTTCGTCATCCTCTTCGGTATCCTCTTCGTCCACCCAGTTCCCCTGTCTGGGCGGGGACCTCCGAGCAGGTGTCAGGGAACTCTCCAACAGGCACTCCCTCCCCTTGGCACTGCCCTCCGCCATGGACGCTCGCTCAGACTCCCAGAACAACAGCTCCCTCAGTCTGGACCACCAGCTGGTCAGAGCAACCACAAAACACAGCACATTCAACTGCCGTTTGATTCATTTGCTGGCACACACATCACTAAAGTTATTACTAACTTTCCAAACAAAACTGAAATTATTGAGAATACTGTTTATATGGATTCCAGTAAATTATGTTATCTGTCACAAAAACAGTGACAATGACATTAAGGTTGGCTTTTTACTTTTTGGACGAGCAGGCCTAGTCTTTTTGAGAGTTTAAAGTCTTTGGTTCCACTGTATTCTGATACATAGTCTTCTACTTTACTACTGGCATGTCTGTGCAGGTCTAAATCCTAAGAGCTGCCTTTAATGTGTTTAATTTATTTATGATTCTTAGTTTTAACTACAAAAATATTTGTCTTTAGTGTTTCTAAGATGCCATCTTTTGTTTCCTTTTCAGAATTTTTCCACTGGAGTTGGTCAAGATTACGACAACCCCAGAGTCAAACCTTCTGTCTCAGCCAACGCCATTTATGCACTGGCAAACAGGTACGTTTCAGTGCTGCTGAAAGCATCTCAGTGGAGTGGATCTTGTCTTTCCTGAATCACTGACATGCTCTTTGCTTACTTGCAATCCACAAAGCTGTACAAATTACCTTGTTTGAAGTTGATTTATACTCAGTACCTTTTTTAAGGATCATTTTACATAATATAAATGGTGCTTAATAAATAACATTCTTGGATCTGACTGCAGAGCGTCCCCAGCTACAGCTAGGCCAGCAGGAGGAGATGAAGGACATGACAGTGATGATGAGTACATGATCCCCTCTTCTCGGCCCGTTCTGCCCCCCATCCCGACTCCACTCATGGGGGAGACCCCACCAATCCCAAGACCCCCGCAGCCCGTGTCAGCAGTCCCGACACAGACCCAGGCCTCTGCACTGAACACACGGTACTCAGGCCTTTCTATTACTCTCTCGCAGCACATAAGAAAAATAAACTGTCACTATTGATTTATTTTTGCTTTTGGCCTTGCAGGCTGATTCTGGACGATGTACCTCATTCACTCCAAATGTATGAAGCCATGTTCAACGCCCAGCCCAGGTCACAACAAGCGAGAGATTCAGGTATTTGTGACCCACTAATCTCAGCTGGGCTTTGTGGGGCGGGGCCGTGTGCAGTGTTCAGGGCAATTCTCTTTCACGTAATACTTTGAATATGCAAAAATCTTTTAGACAAAAACTGTTTTAGACAATGTTAACCTGTTTAATTTCATCTGGTTAAGGTCTCAAGCATGTATTAAACTTTTAATCTCTCTGTTTGATGTCATATTCTGATTTCCTTTCAGACTATTCAGATTTGCCCCCTCAACCAGTGAGTAACGGTCCCAGAGACCATGAGGCTGACGACGGGGAAGAGGAGGAGAACGGCTACGACTTCCCAAAACCCCGACTGCCTTTGCCTCCCGCCCGACGGACCCTTTCAGAAATGGGGGGGTCTTTGTCTTCATCTTCTTCATCCTCCTCATTATGCGCTGCAGCAGCTTTCAATCGTCTTTCTCTAGATGCGGATGCTGGAGCGACAGCGCGTAAGTTTAACAGTTTATTGATTAAAAAAAGTGTTTTTTTTGTTTTGTTTTTTTTCTCTTTACTATGATTTCGGTTCTTTATCAATAAACATACCCATGCTTGCCACAGCTGATTTTAATGTTGTATTTCTACTTGCATTTCATCTGTTATTCAGCTTATCCTGCTTAAATATGGACTTCTACTAAGTGCTTTGACATTTTAAATGTTTTAAAAGTTTTTTACGTCTGGGACAGCAGCTGCAGGGAAACTGCCTGTCTCTTAAAATCACTTGTATATAGCAATTTTATAACTACAGCCTTCACGTCCTTTCTGGCTCAAAATCAGCAAAAACTGCTGATGAATCAATAACTCGACGTCCAAAAGTTCTTTGACCAGATCACAGCCTGAAAAGTCAGCTAAAGCATTTTGCTTCCTGGTCTGGGGCCAAACATAATGCAGATTTTCCAGAAGCTCTCTGGAGTTAATATTAGACTCAGCTCTGGACTTTGATTGTCATGGATTGATTTCTTTTACTGCACATCATCTGCATTTGTGGGTGCGTGCAGATTCAAAGAAAAGTAAAGACCAGTAATTACAGAGAGCTGTTTCGTTACATTAGTGACCTTAAAATAGTTTTTTTTTTTTTATAAATCCAAAGCGATGTCCTCAGAATGGTGGAAACAACCTGATGTGGGATGACCTGCTGTGTCATCAGAAACCCGTAGTGACCACACAGACGTCTTCCTCCAAAGACTGCGAGGAGCTAACACAGCAGTACTTGCCTCAGCAGACACAACACGGTGTGAAGAAAGAAGTTAAAGCAGAGAGTAGATAAAGGGAGCAGTGTTTTAGATGACTTAGGAGAGACTCCATGTTAGAAGCACCACCTCTGAGTTTAAGTGTTCAGGTGGTTGCTGATGAGACTGTGTTCATTATGTCCTGGCCTCTGTTGTGACTTGACATTTACTGCTGGAGGATGATTGCAGTGTCTGATTGTTCCCATCTTCAGTCTTCATGTCTAAGGATCAATGAGTGCTCACACAGTCTGATTAACTCTGAGATTCGAGCTTATGACTGGTTTATTGAAAGCCACTACACTGGAAAGGACATCAAATGTGTGTTAAGATAAAAAGTTCATAGCTTACCTCAGTCATCAAGATCCTTTGTTCCACATTATTTTCCACATTATTTCCAGTAGTTTTATTTTCTGTCTTTGACCCACACTGGCTGTTATGTTTAAAACTAGTTTATGTTGGTTGTCATTCCACCAAAGCCAGACCCTTTGATTTCACTCTTCCCATTTCCTCAGCCTTCCCAGATCCAATGGAGGCACCAGAGAGACCTCCAAAGCCCCTTCCCAGACGAATCAATTCCGAGCGCCGGGCCAGCCCAGTCCCCCCCACTCCGCTCGGCGGCGGGGCAACAGGAGGAGAAGCCAACCCACAAATCAGTAGCGAGATCGAGCACCTAATGAGTCAGGGATACACTCAGCACGACATCCAGAAAGCACTGATGATTGCACAGAACAATATCGAGATGGCCAAGAACATCCTGCGCGAATTTGTCTCCATTCCCTCTACCGCGCACATTCTCACATAGCACATCCTCCCGCCTCTCTCCTGTTTGCTCTCTTTTGCCTAGCTTGGCCCAGCCTGGTTTGGTTTAGGCTGGCATAGACCAGCCCGAAACCCAAAGCCACTGCCTGCAGCACTAGCTCCAGTGCTGGCTGACACCCTACGCCCCTGTGGATTTTTAACTGGCTGTTACTCCAGCAAGCTCGCAGTGTCTCGGGACTCTCGCCCTGCACTCCACACGCTTTCACAGTGTCTGGCCTTCTTTGAACTGCTGCAGCCGGCCTCTTAGTTTTCAACAACATCTCCGCAGGACTCATCCCGTGCGGAGCAACGACAAATAATGGAACGCCGTATAATTGCAAGGCTTCTGTAGGAATGTCGGAGAGATGGATTCTTATCCTTTCATTTTGAAGCCTCTTGCTGAAAATGTAACCAACACCTCACAAAGAAAACTAAAATGTATGTCTATATGAAAATTTAATATATGAGTAAATATATATTAAATGTGTGTAATATATACAGTACGTGCATATATAGTATGTGAAAATGATCGCAGCTTTGAGGGTCACAGTTGGTACAGGCGAAAAAAGCGCAGATGGGACCAGGTTAAAGAGTCGGTTGGGGGATTTCTGTAACTGGGTGAGGACGAGTCGGGGTGTCTTCCTCACCCGGGTTTGTTGGTCAGCAGCAGTTTGGGGGGGGAAAGGAAAAAAAAAAAACACACATGCCGCAGAGCTTCTTCATTTGGAATTCAGTCTGTTATGGCCTTCGATTAACTGTTGCTTTGGTACTTTTGTTGTTTTAGAAACTGCTTGTTTTGTCATGTTGTTGTTTTTTGTTTTTTTCAAAGTAGCATGAAGATGGTTTCAGGTCTTGTGTGTGTGTGTGTGTGTGTGTGTGTGTGTGTGTGTGTGTGTGTGTGTGTCAGTCAGACCTACACCTCATGGCCTGCTCTTAAAACGAACCCCTGTTCCTGTACAACATGAATGTGGAATTACACTCGGTGTACTCAAGACTCGTGCTCTGTAAACGTACTACTGCTCGAACTTGTGTGTCAGGGCCCAGTGTAGCTGTAGAGCCTGGCAGTGAGATTAGAGGACGTACTAATGTTGACGCCCCTGCAGTACCAGACAGGCTGAACGCTTTTTTTTTTTTTTTTTTTTTTTTTATCATCATCATTATTATTTTTGACTAACTTCTTAGGCTGACTGGTTCAGATTTCTATCTCCAGCTCAGTCCGGTGTTACAAAAACAACAACAAAAAAAAGTCATTGATTTTACTTTGATAATATATTATTGTAATATGATCATAAATATTGTTATTATAATTAATTCAGAAGTGCTTCACTGCTGCTACTGTTGTTAGTGCTAAACAATTAAGACTTCAATGTACAATTGTGAATATTGTGTTTAACCGTCTTTAAAGTGACAGTATCGTGTGTTTCTCTAGTCTGTAATGTAGCATACTTGAAAGTACAAGCGACTTGTGAGCACACAGCTCTATCAGGTCGCAAATCTTCAGTGTTTTTCTTTTCTGTTTTTCTTAACATATATATAAATATAAAATATACTCTGTAAGTGGAATCTGTAGAGGAACAGAAATATCACAAGCAAAATGTTCTGGGAATGGAAACCAGACGTTTTGCAACAGATTCAAGCTTCTCTTTCACATCGGTTTCCTTCCTCTGTAGGAGTTCGTCCTGCTGAAAGGGAGCGACTGCCGAGGCTTTTTAATCGTAGGCTCATGGGTTTGTTGGCGCACCCCTCCAAGTCTACAGAAAATCAGTGTTTGGGCTGACTGTAAGAGCTAACTCAGGAATAATAATGTATGTCTGAACAAGTGGTGTTCACCCTGTCTGTCAAAAAAAAAAAAAAAAAAAACCCCAGAAGAGACTCATATTGGCATAGACAGCAGCTCACCTGTCCAGCTGTCTGTTCATCCAGGTGACATGTAGCCAAAAGTTTCCGCGTAATGAAGTCACACAAGTAGCCTATTACTCATTTTGGTTTGTCATAAGTTGCACATTAGTGTTTTGTTTTTTTTAAGATTATTTCCAGTGTTTGCAGGTCTATAAAGACAGCAGCTTCATTTCCAGGTACTAATTACAAATGCATTATGAGGAATTCATCCAAGCAGCTTCTAGGTACACTGACTGAACCTCTCCCAGCATATGAAGAATGTTTGTTTTTTTTGGGGGGGGGGGGGTTTCACCCACCCTGGGAGTGTGTGCATCGTGTAAGTCAGCCCTGTCTTATTCTGGGTGTCTCTGCATGTTGACTGGAAGCTTTGTGCTGTCTCGCCCTCTTTTATTTCATTTTGGGGTCTTTTTTTACTCTTCCTAGTTGCCTTGAGAAACTTCTTGAATGATGTTTAATGGACAGGAAGCTCCCCTCATATCATCAATACTGTACCAGTGTGTGTTTATATATTAAGAATGGCATGTCATTGTCATGTATTATTTACCATTGTTTTTGTTTTTGCACATTATACCAGTTTGTGCTTTGATACTGTCACTCTAAAGAAAAGCAAATTGTATAGAGTTAGATATGAAAAGAGGAAGAAAATGGCTGTTATATTTCATTTTGCATTCCTGTACATGTATTTTGTTCCAAAGGATTTGTTTACTTATGTGAATAATTCAGTGAGCAGTGCCATATGTTTTTGTTTTTTAGATGTTTTTTGGAAGCGCGTTTGTTGGTATAGATGTGTATCTGTTGGTCTCCGAAGGCAAAATGATGCGGAGTTGCTTGTGTTAATCTGTCCTCTATGCTTCTTCAGCCTCATCAGGCCTCAGACTCTGAGCTTGATGCTAACCAGGGGTATTTCAGTTATCTGCCAGAAGAGGGAGCTGTTGTTCCACACGGCTGCATTGCTTCTCAACAGTAAAAAGCTTTTTTTTTCTTCTTTTTTTTCTTTTCTTTTTTTTTTAAAGGTTTTTAAAGCTCATATCAATTTGGAAGTATGCACAGTGCTGTTAATAAAATGACAAGCAAAAGCCTTCAGGTGTCTCTTTCCTCTGTTTACACATATATTCATATTTAGCTTTGTATTCCTTAAAACATAAAACTTAAAAAAAACTAAAACTGGGGGGGGAAGTCATTTCCCGTGTGTAGCTCCAGTCAGAGTGCACAAGCTTCAGTGATTTTTTTGACTCGGCTGCCATTTGGCAATAACTTTTTAAGGTAAAACTAAATAGAAATTTGAATTTCATCCTTTGGCTCAGGCAGGAGTGGCTGAGAAGACTCTAAACAAGTTAACAGCAAAGCAAATGAAACTGAAAAAGAGCAGTGAGTGATCAGAACTGCAGACCGATTCAGTGCTTTGGTGCCATTTTAATAGTTGATACTCTTGCATTTTCCATTGTGATGCATTTGGTAATTGCATTAAAACCCAAAATGTGATTTGGCTGCCCGACCAGTAGATCACATGACCAATCATCAAATAAAACTTCAATGTAACCTAATAAACTTGCCTACTGTTTGTAAAGGGACTGCTAAGGATAATCTGCTTATTCATGCCTGCTTTGGTGTGGATGTTAGAAGTAGGCACTTTATAGGCATCCACTGTCCATGAACTCCCCTTTTAAATTCATTCAGATACTAATTGGTGTATATTTCTTTGATAGAACCCCTTGACTTAAAAACAGAGTCGCACATTACTCATTTAATGCTGGAAATTTAATTCACGCCATGTTCAGCAGCTATATGTTTTTAGTTGTGTGCACAAATGCCACACTGTCATGTTTAGCAGACCTACTGTGCAATACCTACAACTCATATTACTAATGTTCATTAACAATAATATTTGACTATTTGCCAGTTATCTGTGAGACAACATCCAAGGAAAAAAAATATATATTATTGGTAAAATCAGTAAAGAACGATTTCTATTTCTACCTAAAATTCACAAGGCTCATTATTTAAAGTGGACCTGTTATGTTTAGTTTCTGCCTCCACATTTTTATTATTAGAGGAGAACTGAATGACTCCCTGCTCAAAATTATCCTCATTTACATCAAGTTGCACTTTGTTCATCAAGAACAAGGGTGTCGAACTCATTTTGACCAGTTAAATTTGCTCTTTCCGTCAGTGTAAAGAAGTTTATTGCACATTTAATCCCCAAGAAATTTTAATATAAGAAAAGAATTGCAATTATAATAAAACATGTCCGTTATTCTACATGATTTAGCCACAGTGCTCTTTTGGGCTTATATTTTATCTTAATGCTGGTATCTCAAGACTGTCCTATATTTATAAAATGGAAACATTTAGTCGATTGACAGTATGTCTGTGTGCCTGAAATGATCGTTATGTGCTTCCAGTATCAATCATTCATTCTCCAGATTGTTCTTGACAAACTTCAGTCTGGCCTGAAAGTGTCTTTTTATGTATAATTTGAGTTTTTCTTGGGCTGAAAACTCGCAGTGCATCGCTGTGCAGGGCTCCAGTGATGTCTTTATCTTCCTACCTCTGTCAGGCTCGTCCTGTACTCTGTGGCTCTCTTTGAATTTTTTTGATGACACTTCCCAGTGGTACCTTTATATAACCGATTTCTTTTGTTTTTAAGCATGATATTTTCTCAAGTGACAGCTCAAACCCATCCTAATGATTTTACACTGTGTGTAAATTGGAAGGTAACCAAGTTTTAACTTGTTTTTAAAGGTTTTGACCATTACAGAGTAGAGGCACGTCATGGCACAGCAGTGATTTGTAGTATGGCTAAATAAAAAAGGTCATATTTTTATGTCAGCAGACACATTTCCAGTTATGTTCATTTAACAGTCCATTTTTATTTGGTAGAATTTCACAAAAAAAAACTACAAACAATCAGATTTGTTAAATATGTTATAATGTCTTCAGTGATATTATAACACATTTTATCTTTCAGTCTTTAAAAAGGCATTATACATTGAACAGTGGTCACACGCATCAACAGCAGAAACAAAACAGAGGCTTAACTGTCTTCAAACACGATTTGCATATGCGGAGTCACAGTCAGTCCCCTCCTCTCAGTAGTGAAGTCTAGTCTAGTTACCGAAATGAAAAAGAAAGGCTCTGGTTACACTTAAATGAGGAGTGGTTGATGTTTTAAGGCATCAAGGCTGAGGGGCATTCTCATGCCTCTCTGGGACACAACAGTTTTCAACAGTGTTTCAAGTTTTGCTCGATACATGAATTTCTTCATTCGTCACACAGAAATGTCTTTTTCTTATAAAGAAGGAAACATCATGCCGTGAACCCATGTGTATTCACCAAACACCACTACTCTCCAACTTTAAAATTTCAAAAGAAATGATTACAGAAGTGAAGCATGTCATGAACGTATAGAACGATGAAAGATGGTGGCTCCTTCCACAACAACAAAGCCTGCATGAATCACCAAAGAAATCAGTGCGCTGAACATTAAATATAACAATAAAAAAATGGCTTCGAATGTAGATTCTAAGGCATCGTCGTTTATAACTGGACTGCATAACATAGTCAGATTTGTTCACCTGCCTCACAAAATGACTAGTTAATATACTTTATACTCCGCAGGTTGTGTGAAAGTTGAGTGTTAGAGGAGTAGATATCAAAATAATGTGAAAGGTACGCGATTCAAATTTTTCTTTCAGAGCCAATATTTGGTGAAGCTGTGAACTGGCTGTAGAGGTGAGGCATCGCTAGAGCTACAAAAACAATTCAGTGTAAAGACAAAATAATAAAAAAGAAATATCTACTTAAACTCTCCTTGCTATCTTCCTTAAAAAACACAAAACCCCACCACACTATCTTGTCTTGCTTTTTTCTCTTTTCCCCCACATTGTGTTACTTTAAATAAAGAAATATATACATAGATAATAATATGTACATTAGCTCAGCTGTTTCAGGCTGCTCTTCGGTGACTGAAGGGGCTTGAGGTGATGCTTTTTGGGGTATAAAAATAGTCCCTGGTCGGCTTTGTGCTCTAATTATTGTTCTGTGGACTATCAGCAGTACACTGTGAGGAGAACCTGCGGCATTCCTTGGGGTTGAAGGGAGATTTCTTAGTTCTGAAATGAAACTTTCCAACCTTCTTCATTAAAGCTCGAGATGCATTCCAACAGAGGAGCTGGCACGTAAAGGGCAGAAAGAGAAAAAGCCATAGCTTGGAATAACTTTTGTCCTGATAGTCACGATTGGAATAAAAAGCTGTGGGTGCTTGAAGGCAGCAGCGGGGCCTGAGGCTGAGAGGGGAGAACGGGAGCAGCCGTCGGTGTGTCACCTCTTCACTTTCACGCGTGCAGACGCTCATCGGTCTTTACTGCAGAGAGCAAACAATCACAAAAGAGAAAGTTTGGGTGGGGTACTGGTAAGTTTGATATTCAGTAGAAAGACCATTCGATTGAGCGAGTTCAGTTCAGGATCAGATATGTACTTGGTCATTTGGTTGTTGCTTTTCTCCGTTGACCCCAAGGAGAATCGCCTCCTCTGTGTTGTCGCTTTTCATCTCCACCACAATGTTATCTTTGCTGGACTTCCTCTTACTGCTGCAGGGTCAAGAACAAGCCATAGTTATAACTGAACCTATCTGAAGCTTTATGCATTGTACCTGCTCACATAACAGGGGGCGTCACTTCGTGTGTCCTTTAAAGCCACACAAAAAATAATAAAATGAGTATATATATGTACACATTCATCAGTAAGTGTATTGATTTTACCATGTACTCCCAGTGCTGCTGAATATTTCTGGGAATCACAACTGCACATTAAAAAAAACTTTAAACTTCATCCATTTAATGAAGGGTCTGGGACTGACAGCCACCGTGTTTTTTAAGCATTTTCTGCTTCATGTGTGTAAACTGTGACAATGCCAGGTTTGTATTACTGTAATTTTACAGCATGGCTTTGGTAGTGTTACGAAGACACAGGTTTATTGCTAAAGTACTTCTGGCAGGTGTATCACTAATATCACAAAATTCAAATTATGCCTGCAACGATCGATCGAGTAATTCGAGGGATTCAATTATAGCAAAAGAAAAGCGAACTTTATAGCTGCTCCATCCACTGCTTTGTTTTACACAGAGAAAAATCTGCAGTAAACTTCATCAAGTTGATGATGATGAGATGATGAGATAGCCTTTATTTGTCAGTTGCAGGTATTTTGCCCACAACCGAGTTGTATTAAAATGTGCAGATGATCTATTAACTTAGTCTGATACCATGTTTAAACGAACGGCAGCCGCCCTTTTTACATGGAGGCGATACCTGCAGCAAACAGGGGTGAGTCTACACGGGGGGGAATAGGGTGTAATAGACCCATTGATTTTTTTTTAAAGTCTTTCATAACATTTTTCGGACTGAAAGTGAAATAATATAAAATATTGCATTAATATTTAAAAATATAAAACAAAAGCTTTTTTCACAAGCCAACAGAAATGTACATGGGCCATTAAAACTCAGCGTAAAGGTAAATTTTTTATGCCTTAGTTTGGATTTCATGCATATCTTATTTTATTGACTTCAACTGTACTTGAGATTATTTATATTTTTTGCATTTAAGAAAATGTTTTCTTTAGTAATTCAATTTAATATAGCAGGTCATCAAAGGCTTGTTTTCTTTCGTATTTTTCTGACACGTTTGCATTAAAACATTGCAATTTCTAAAATGGAAACCAATGAGCAGTTTGTTTAGAAAAACCTGTGGTTTTTTTTATTGCTCATGTTAATTATTGCTCAGAAAAGTATTTCTTATCTGACTACTGGATCAATCAATTGAATAATTGATAGATTACTCAGTTACTAAAATAATTGTTACCTACAGCCCTAAATTAAATATCACTTTTTACCAGAGAGCAACCTTTACACACTCTGGCTTTAGGAACAACACACCTCACAACTTTAACATTTAATGTTTTATGTTATTAAGTGCACTTTTGAATCAACTGTGAACACAAACTGTATCTAAAAGATGGATATAGACACCCTAGTTGTCGCCCCCTGCAGGCTATTAGAGAGAATGCAACTTAAGGCACTTCCTGACTGGCTTCTCCTTTTAGACACTTTTATATCAAAGGGTCATCTATCATCTGTCTGCTTTCCCAGGAGTTTGGCTGCTAGTCTTTTCTTTTCATCACTTCCTTTTTCCCATGCTGTAAAACTCAATGCAGACATCATTGTTCTAGTCCAATCATCTTTCTGCCAATCAGCCTCCACTCTGCATACCTTAAATTGCCCTGCTCATCTCCCTTGTGCAATCAACCTCTTCCCCATCGGTGCCTCACACAAGTCACTCAACCTAAGCCTAGACCAGGGGTGGGCAACTCCAGGCCTCGAGGGTCGGTGTCCTGCAGGTTTTAGATATCACCCTGGGTCAACACACCTGAATCAAATTATTAGTTCATTACCAGACCTCTGTAGAACTTCAATACATGTTGAGGAGGTAATTTAACCATTTAAATCAGCTGTATTGGATCAAGGACACATCTAAAACCTGCAGGACACTGGTCCTCAAGGCCAGGAGTTGCCCACCCCTGATCTAGACTCTGGGGGGTTCTGCCCTAATTCCTATCACTGCTGGGATTTCATTCGGCTGTGATGGGCCATCGGAGTCTAATCACAACATAGCATAACTGAATTTTCTACATCGATGCATCATGTTCAGTTCTTTCTAATGGTCTAGAACTACAATACTGTGATACAGTCCAGCCATAAAATCACATTTTAATGTCTCCTTATGTGGACACATTGTGTGTTTATGCATGGAACTGCTGTCATTGCACTTACAAGTCTTGCTTGCCAGATCGGCCGCAGATCCTGCCCTTCTTGTACAGGAAATAGAGCACGCTTCCCAAGATAGCCAGAAGGAAGATGGCGATGATGATGATTGCGATAACAAAACCTTTGCTCTCTATTGGAGAAGAAGCACAAAACACCCACAGCTTTACTTACTGCACCCGGATTTTGGAATAGAATGACAGCAGGAGACAGGAGAGTCTGATACAGGTGGAGATACAGTTTGCAATGCGCCTAAAGAGAGTGTGGCAGTAGCATCATTCAGGTGACCCTGAAAGATAAAGAAACGAAGTGGCTGTTTATCAGGGCTGCAGGAGCAGCAGTGCTTTTACAACATGCGCAGGAAGAGGTGAAGATGATGAACAACCCAATGACGCTTTGATGTTTTGTTCATCACCAGGGAGGGTTCTCGTGAAAGCTAGGAGGCGAGAGAGCGAGAAGTGTGCTTACAGAGGAGAAGTGGAAGGAAGGCGGTAGAGAATCTGCAACAGCAGAGTGATGTACAAACCTTTCTTGATATTTGGTGATTTGGTGGGCGTTTGAACTGAGAAAAACCAAATGAACACAGGAATCAGTGGGCATATGCACATAAATACTTCATATAATACTCAAACACAGTTTAGATCAGGGACACGTGGTCCACTTTGATCTTAAGTGGGCTGGACCAGTGAAATGCCTCTTTCACATTTAATCTCCGAGATGTCTTACATATGCAGTTTCAACATTCAGATTTTCAATGACAAACGTTTAAATGACAAATGTTTAAAATTGCAGAGAAAGATCTGGCAGTTGATTGCCCAGTGATATGAATGGCAATGGAAGCGGTCTTTATGAATAGGAAAAGCTGTAAAACGTGAAAATACAGTTAAAAGTTCAAAAGCTCCTCCTTTCAAAGTTGTCCATTGGGCCAGATTGGAGTCTTTGCTGTGTCAGCTCTGGCCTGCGGGCTTATGGTTGACACCCCAGGTTTGTGTTGCTGATGTTCAGCAGAGTCCTGAATAAATGTTTTATTTCAGAGGATCTTATCAGTGTTTTGAATCGAAACATCAACTTTGATATGCAAACTGCAGTCAGCAGCAGAAGAGTCATTTTCTACAGGGGCCCTGTTTAATCCCGTTTATCAACGCTTTGGGAGAAACGTGGACTCAGAGCAGTTTTCCTCTGAGGGGCTGAAAATTTCCTGGTGTGACATATAAACAGAGAGCAGACACAGAAAAACACAAAGCAGGACCCATAATGGGAGTCAGGAGACTCACTCTGAGTGCATTTAAAGCATCGGCTTTAGATGCACTCAATGATGAGAGTCACAATGATGCATGTACGTGTGTGAACCTTTCTCTTTTTATTTCCACATCATTTGCAAGCATGACTTCATTCTCAAACTTTAAGACTACATTAAAACAAAACGTCTACATTTATAATAACCCAACACGCAGAACAGCAGTCATGACAATAAATTAATAATTAAGACACCCTGTAATAACAACAAACCTCACTTTTAATGAGCTATCTATCATACCACAGCGGTAACTAAGGCCTGCAGGTGTTTCTGAGTTTGCGTCACGCCTCCTTGCTCTTATCCTTTCTTTCTGACTTACAGAAAAAAAACTGCCCCACAAGACTAAATAAAAGAAAGTCTGGAGACTCTGAATTTGCTGGTTATAAGCTTTCAATTCAATCAGTTCCATTCAGTTTTATTTATTTATTGCCAATTCACAACAACGGTCGTCTCAAGGCACTTGATTCTGCAAAGTAAAGAGCCAACAATCAGCAACAGCCACCTGCCGTGACTGGGTGTAGGCTGAACGGGAAGAATAGAGGGGAAAAAGAACGGGAGAACATAGAGAGGGTAGACAAAAGTTACAGCATGCAGCAGTGGCACATAAATGCATCAGGAGTGAAAAAAGGTGTGTGGAGAAGATCAAGCCCTATCTAAACTTTAACAAAAAGATTAATCCTAATGTGAAAATGATGGAGGGCGACTCTCTCCTGAATCCAAACTGGGAGGTTTTTGATAAATGAACTACCTATTTCTGTCAACCAAGTTTAATTATGCATTTTGTAGCTGATTTAATTGCACGGTGGTCTTACCTGGGTCATTGACATAGTTAGTTGATGTGTTTTGTGTAACTGAAAGCAGGCAGAGGCACAGAGAGGAGGTTATTTGGGTCACTACACATTTAACATCACAGAGGTTAACAGTGTCAAAAGGTCTGTATAGGTTCTCAGTCATCAAGGACATGGTGCGAGCTATGAGTTCTTAAAAAGAAGGCAAATGGACTTGTGTAGCTTCACATCTCATCCAAGAGGCTTCTTCAGTTCTGAAACAACTGGCAGAGATGTAAACCCCACTGGGAATTGTCTCCTTGGAGGTTGAAATACCTGGGAAAGGATATCAAGACTGTGTGCCAATTTATTTAGAACTGAAGAAGCCTCTTGGATCAGAGTCGAAATGTCTTCCCAAACCTAAAGAAGTCCAATTGCTCTTTTTAAGCACTTAAGACATCAGTGTGAAAAAACAACAACACAGAGAGGAATATGAAAAATCACAGACAACACATTACAACACTTGGCAAAGCTCAGCATCTTTAGATGAAAGTCAAAACACACAGAGACACGGATGTGAACAGGGGGGGGACACGAGTAAAAGGGAAAAGTGAGGGGACTTTAATTTATACAGCAACAGTTCTTCAAGGTGGTTTATGTAGGACCCAACAGTGCTAGAGAGAAAACCTCAACATCAGAGGATTCCCCATTAAAATAGCACTTGGCAACAGTGGGAAGGAAGAACTCCTTTTTAACAGGAAAAGGTGCAAATGCAGCCAGTAAGTTCAAAGAGAAGATAAAAAAAGAGAGAGAACAAAACACAAGCTAAAGAAGAGAACTGACAAAACTTAATAACATGCATTAGAGACATATTACGGGAGAAATGCTCAGTGCATCATGGGAGGTCTACCAGCAGCCTATCTATTGCATCATGAATAAGGGATGTCTCAGGGTTCACCGGATGCAGCCATAACTATAAGCTTTATTAAAAATAAATGTTTGAAGCCTCGTCTTAAAATGAAATAGAGCCTCATAGCGGGTTTGAGTTCCATGTTAAAAATCAAGCACAGCAGAATGACTGTGATCTTACCGGTGTCATTGATAAAGGTAATGTTTGTTGATGGTATGGTAGTATTGGCAGTTGATGTGTTGTATAAAACTGAAAGCAGGTAGAGAGGAGGCGACTTCTGTTATCACACAGGGGTGCACATTAAACAGTGGGTTAACAGTGACAACAGGAAACAACACAGAGTGAAATACAATCACTGACAACATGTTGGAGCGTTGTTTTAACTCAGCCACATAGGAGCATGCCAAAGCATCTCCATCTGACTTCAGTCTGGACTTTAAGTAGTCCGATCCTAAAGCTTCACCGTGTGAGTCATTCAGAGGTGGACTTGCTGGTGTGCTCTGGATCATGGTCCTGCTGTATAACCCAGTTGCTCTTAAAAACTGCATGTTGTTCTTACTATTTTTGTCTAGCATAAAAATTTGTTCGCTGATTTGAAACATTTGATAAAAATATACTTAAAATAAATCTAGAAGGACAAAATACAGTTTCAGCACAGTGTACACAGACATATTCAGTTCAATTTTAACAACAATAATATACAAAAAAATGCCAGTGATCAGATTCTCCATGAATAAACACTTGGCAACAGTGACATGTGGCAGTACCAGGCTCAGGGAAAGGCAGCCGGTGGGAGGGAAAAAAGAGAAAAAAGGGGAGAACAAAACACAAACTACAGAAAAGAGTTGACAAACATTAATAACATGCAGCAGTGACAGATAAAGACACGGGGAAGGATAAAAGGGGATTGAAGAAAAAATGTTCAGCGCATTGTGGAAGGTCTATCAGCAGCCTAAAATTATTGCAGCATAACTAAGAGATGGTTCAGGGTGACCAGATCCAGCCATAACTATAAGCTTTATTAAAAATAAATGTTTGAAGCCTCATCTTAAAATGAAATAGAGCTCTACAGCGGATTTGATTTCCATGTTAAAAAAAACAAAAAAACAGGCACAGCAGAGTAATCGTGATCTTACCTGTGTCATAGGTTATAGTATTGGTTGATGTGGTAGTGGTGGTTGTTGGTGTGGTGTGTACAACTAAAAACAGTTAGACGCACAGACAGGAGGTCATGTTTGTTACTACACAGGGGTACACACTAAACAGCACAGGTACAAAATGACAGCAACAACACAGAGTGAAATATTCACAGTCACAACAACAGGTTACGGCACTTGGCAGAGCTTAGGCCATTTAGATGAAGAGAAAACCCAACAATAAGAGGATTGCCTATGAGCAAGCATTTGGTGACAGTGGGAAAGAAGAACTCCTTTTTAACAGGAAGACTGCCAGCAGAAACCGGCTCAGGGAGGGGCAGCCAGTGAGTGTAAAGAAAGAGAAAAGAAGGAGAGCATGAAGAGCCAAGAACAGAACACAAAGTATAAGATATAAGACAGACAAAAATCAATAGCATGCAGTAGTTACATATAAACACACAGGGAATGAAAAGAATGTAGAAATGCTCAGTGCATCATGGGAGTAACATTAGTCTCAGCCGATAGCAGCACAAGTAAGGCATGGTTCATGGTCGCCAGTTCCAGTTATAATTATGAGCTTTTTCAAAAGGAAATGTTTGAAGCCTCGTGGTAAAAACAGAGAGTGTGCCTGTCTCGCAAATTCGAGCTGGGAGCTTTCTGACAAGTTAGAAATCTCTCTTTCCCAGTCAAATTTAATTTTGCATTTAGCAGCTGGTTTCATTTGCATGATGAAAAACAGGCACAGCAGTGTAACTGTGGTCTTACCTGTGTCACTGGATATAGTAGTGGTTGATCGTGTGGTAGTGCTGATTGTTGGCATGGAAGTGATTGTTGTTAATGTGGTGTTTAAAACTAAAAGCAGGTAGAGGCACAGAAAGGACGTCATTTTGTTATTTACACATGGGTGCCCGTTAAACGACATGTGGGTTACCAGGGTGAAGAATGTGAAAAACAACAACAAAAAATATAAAGATTGAACAATCACAGACAAGACGTTACATCATGTGGCAAAACTCAAGACCTTTAGATGAAAATGAATAGAGACATGAGGGGGGAGGGACATAGGTAAAAGTGGCAAGTGAGGAGAACAAATAAAAACATGCAGGCATGTTCGGTTCGTTTTTATGTAAAGTGCTATTTCACAACAGTCGCCTTAATATTAGAGAGAACAACCCAACAATGAGAGGATTCCCTTTGAGCAAACACTTGGCGACAGAGGGAAGGAAGAACTCCCCCGTGGTCAGAATGGAGGGTGAATGGAAAGAGAAGAGAAAAAAATAGGGAGACAAAACTTTGGAAGAGAAATGACTAAAGTTAATGACATGCAGTACTGACATATAAACATATCAGGAGTGAAAAGAGGGGAGTGGAAAAGACCTGGTCAGTGGACCTCATGAAGTCCACCAACAGTCTGAGCCTACAGCAGGATAACTGAGGACTTTTCCAGGATCACCTGTTTTATGAACAAGGCTCGAAGCCAAATCTTAAAAGCAGAGTCTGTCTCCTGAACCCGCTGTTTACCAATATTTCATAGATGAAGGCCTTTATGTCTAGCTTAATTAACTGATTTTTGTCATGTCGTTTGATAAATACAACTCAACATCATCTGCGTAGCAGAAACATGTAGACACAGAAGAACTCCATAAGTAACTTTTCCATGTAAGAAAGAATCCTTGTTTGTATTAATAGCTGGAACAGAAAACTAACAGAAATATATGATTCAAACAAAAGCAGTGGATTTCGTCGAATGCAGTGGTGTCCGTAGAAAAATCTTGTGATCAGCCATCTATGATGAGCCATCTGCGCTAAGATGAACTCTAAACTCTGTGACGAACCTGACTGAACTACTAACTACAAAGATTGCAGAAAGGAAGCACAGGCTGCAAGAACTCACTGGTTTTGATGTTGAACTCCACCACTTTAGAGCCAAAGTCATTGCTGGCATTGCAGAAAACTTTCACATTGGGGGTGATCTTGAAAGTGACCACACTCTGAGCGCCATCTTCAGTCTCTGTTTGCAATGCATTTAGGTTCTGCAAAAAGGACAGTTAAAGACAGAAATAGAAAAGCAGATCCAAGAGCAAACAGGTGAGAAGACAGTTGAGCACAATATTGATATAGACTTCCAAAGACTAAAGGTTTGCATGCCCATCATCATCGTGAAGGTAAACTAGACATTAGCTAGTATTAGCTCTGTCAGTCCAATCAAATTTATTTCTAACTCTGTAAAATCCAACCAGTAGTGGCGCAACGGATCACTGTTGATCCGTGATCAGAACCGATCCCACTCCATGGTTCGGTGATCCGAAGATTCGAAAAAGAAAAAAAATATGTGTATGGTGGGCGTGGTCAGTCTGTCTGCAATAGTCATGGCCAACGCTAGCACTCCAAGTGAAAGAGCAGAGGAGTTTGCGGCATTTAAGCAGCCCTTTGCTGCCTAATCTGACCATGCTAAAGCTGTTACAAAAGCTATTACAAAAGCTATTGGGGTGTTTATAGCTCCAGACACGAGGCCCTATTCCATTGTGCAAAACAAGGGGTTTAAACATATGATAAACGTGCTTGAGCCACGCTATGATATCCCGTTGCGTGTCCACTTCAGTGACAAGATCGTTCCAAGCATGTATGAGCAGGAAAAGTCAGGCATCTTCTGTTGCCCTAACTACAGATGGGTGGACCTCCAGGGCAATGGAAAGCTACGTGACCGTGACCGCTCATTATATCACAGCGGAGTGGTAGATACAAAGCCCTGTACTGCCCTATATAGCACCTAATTTGTTTTTTATATAATTGCGTGGAATGAGTATTGAGTTGAATGTTCTTTAGTGGGCAAAAAAATTAATTTTTCTTGTCTTGTTTCGTTTTTTGCTGATCCGAAAATTGATCCGATCCGTGACTTAAAACCGTGATCTGATCCAAACCGTGAGTTTATTGATCCATTGCACCACTACCAACCAGTGCTGCTTAAATCAGTGAGAATCTGATGTGATGTCAGCTAAATGATAATGTTAGCATGCTAATGCTAATTAACCATTTTTACCATTTTGCTCTAGAACGTTAGCATGCTTTAGTGCTTTTAGCACTAAACAACTGCATAACTGAGGCTGATGGACATATCTAACACACACTTTTAATCATAAAACAAATCACTGCACAAAATATCTCGAGGCACAAAATGTCCGGTAGTTGTTGAAACATTTTGTTCAATTTTCCTGCATCTGTATTGCTAATCTGTTCAGGACTTGCTGATTTGTGGTTACTAAGACTATTAAAACTGTTCAAAAGTGAAGACCATACTCTACTAATGTGAAGTCTCACCCACAGTCCACCAGCCAGCTCTTTTTTAATCGTGTGCCATAAACGGCAAAATACCACAACAGTATTGGAAAGAAAATGCATTTAAGTTAAGTTTAAAATTCAAGTTAAAAATTGTGTTCCACTATTTGTCCCACTGGACGCATTTATCAAAATGGAGGTCTGGAGGACTTTGGATCAACCTGTTGAAGTCACAACTGGAATAAGCAGATCTCTGTTGTGGCTGTGACTAAGCCGAGAATGACAAGCTTCCCTCTGCTGTACCTTCCCATCAGAAGTTGTCCACATAATTGTGGGAGCAGGAAACCCTGTGGCACTGCAGGTCAGATTAACAGTTGTCTCATAAGTCTCCACTTCTTGGACATCTGGCCCCAAAATCTGTGGCGAACCTGCAGAATGAGTAGCAAGAAATACAACCTTATGCAATAACTATGCAGTCACAAACTTTGGACATGGTCTCATTTAAAGAAAATACAACTCACCCTTAACATTGACTTGAAGTGTGCTGCTGGTTTTCATCCCCTCCATCTCAGGAACGGTCACAACGCACTTATACATCCCTGCTGTTTCTAACGTTGCGCTCTTCACACTCAAAGTGTTGCCTTTTGACACCAACTTTTCATTCTAGACAAAGGTGAACAAAAAAAGCTTGTTTGACTCAACACGTTTAAATGAGCATATAAGTACTGGGTGAAATAGGTGTTAGACGCCTCTAGTCAACCTAACTGCTGGTACGACTCTGCCACAGTGTGAAATGATTGTTTTCTAGGTGCAGCTTACTTGTTACTGTTAGACAAGCAGTTGTATTGTATATATGTATGTATCTATGTAACCTTAAACCAGGTTGTGGATGTCTGGAGAGAAGACAGGGCATTGCAGCTGGCCTTCAGCTCCTCTCCTTCCATCACCGCAATGCTGTCTTTAGGCATTATAACAGCAGATTCAAGGTCTGCACACACAGACAGAGAAACAAGGCATACAAGTCAAACAGAGAACCTACTGTTAAAATGTATTTGATGAAAAGCTCATCCAGAGTAAAACACTTACAGTTAACCGACACCTTAGTACTCCTTGAGATCACCTCAAAGTTATCCGTTTCCTCAAAGGTGCACTCATAAACTCCACCGTCTAAACGCTTCACATTAGTCCGCACCATAGTCTTGTTCTCCACAGAGTATTCACTCTGCAAAGTTCAAGATTAACTTTAATGTCCTCAAAGTGCTCAGGAAAACATCGAATTGCAACCATTTCCACATAAATGAGGAGTATGGAAGTGCTGATTTTCTTACATTTTGGTGCTTAATTGTGGTGATTGAGGATGGATAGTTGCCATTGTTATCGCAGCGAAGCTCAAGTGTGTCCCCTTCCTTGATTTTGCCCTTTGGTGACTCCACCCAAATAGTTACTTCAGTGGGGAGATCTAAAACACAGAGAGATGAATTCAAGATTAAACTGCAAACCTGAACTATCCTTAAAAATAGGAAACTGAGGCCTGTCAAATCAAATTAAGGAAAATGTTATTAGTATAATATCCTATAATACTTGAACAATAGTGTTATTTTAACTTAGTGAACTTCATGAGAAACTATAGCATCCATTTCCACTTCAAAATATCAAAACAGATCCATTAAGAAACTTCTTCTAGTTTGTTTCTAGTTTTTCTAGTTTGGTGTGCAAGAACATTGCATGAACTGGAAACCAAATGCAAGCCAGTTTGGTTTCAATTGGTGAAACTCACAGTATACAGTGATGTTAATGTGCTGACTCTCGGTCATCTTGGTCGCTCCAGGGACAAAGTAGATGACTTCGCAGTAGAACACTGCATCTTTGTCCTCCTTCTTAACTTTCATTGTCAGCTCACTCTGGACTGAGAAAAGACCACTCGATTCAATAGTGGTGCTGGAGGTTACAACCACCTCTGAAAGAAATAAAAATACTGTAAACATAAAAGAACAGGACAGACACAAACTGAAACAGCTAAGGCATTCCAGTTTTAAATATCAATCTGCCTTACCACGTGGAGTATTGCGAAGGGGCATGTTGTTTCTGTACCAAGTGATATGTGGCTTTGGGTATCCGTTTTTGACCCTGCAAGACCCAATCTAGTGGGAGAGGGGGTAGGTAAGGAAATTCAAATGATAAAATTGCATCCTCGCATTTTGTAATTTTAGTCTTTGATGTTTGTGATCGCCAAAACCTTTTCACCTTGGATGGAGCTTCTTCATTTACTGATATCCCTGTTTCCACTGCCTCAATTGTAGGAAAGGTTGGTGATTCTGCACAAGACGTAAGAAAGGATAAGAACTAGAAAAGGAAGCATTTAGAAAGGAACAATCATAGATTCTGATAGCTAAAAATTTCAGAAATATTGTAACACTATAGGTATGTTAATACAGTGAGTTCCATAATTTGTTGAACAAAGACACAATCTCTGCCTCCGGACACAGTGGACTTTAAATCGAAAAATCCAAATGCGATTTGAAAGCAGTTTTTAATTTAAGAGGTTTTGCAAAGTAATTGGACCTAAATTGGACAAAAAAAAAGATAATTGGTCAGGAAAACTGGTAAGCAGTTTCATGAACAGGTGAGGTCTGTTCCATCTTCTTTTGTTTTTCTTCCAAAGCAAATGAAGCAGATACAATATCTGAAGTTGATCCGTTAACTTGTAGCAGCAGCAGTAAGAAATATATGGAAAATATGGAGCAGCATACATTAAGAGAGGATACTGATGACTTGCTTAATGAAAACAACCGTTTCAGTGCGAGAGAGCAGACAGCATAGAAAATGCAATAAAAGCTTTCAGAGTCTTACTAAACACTTGGAGCTGGGTTCGTCCCTCTGCTTCCTCAGGTGTGAGAGTTTTGATGACACAGATAAACTCCAAGTTGTCCCTCACTCCCACATCTCTGATAGCCAGCACAGCAGCGGTTCCATTGACGTTCAAGCTGATCCGATGCGTGAACAGTGTGTTTTGTTCTGCAGCCTCATGCATTGGTTCCTTGTTGTAGATTCTCTGTCTCTCCTTATTAGGTAGCACCTAAAGGTCAGAGTTTACAGAATCAAACATCAATCAAACAGAGAAACGTGACACCCATCACACATCTGTGTGTTTCTGTGCACGTTAAGCTTCACCAAACTCACATAGAACCACTGTATGGTGGTGCCGCCCAGGCCCTCGTCAGTTGTAAACATGCAGGTGATCTGAGCCGTCTCTCCAGCCATTACCTCCACTTTGTCCTCCATGTTCACCTCCACTATGGCCCATGCTGAGAAAAATACAATAAATTACCCACCAACATATATATATTTTTAAAAGAACTGACCAGATTATTAAGCAATTCGGTGCTGCACGTACAACTATTATCTACTTAGCTTTAAACTGATCTCTTTTCAAAGTTCTCATTTAAAAGAGGACCGTTACACTCTGACTCACTGACATGACTTCCATTGCATTATTTTCACAGCTCTGTAGCTGTTGTGTAGCCAGCTGCTGTATGACAGTTAGTGGCACAGTCAGCCTTTATGGAAATATAGTTTAAAATGATATGACTGATTCAGCAAACCAGTATAATGCTGCAACATTTGTATAGCGCTTTTCTAGTCCCTAAGGACCCCAAAGCGCTTCACACTACATTCAGTCATTCACCCATTCACACACTGGTGATGGCAAGCTACATTGTAGCCACAGCTGCCCTGGGGCGCGCTGACAGAGGCGAGGCTGCCGGACACTGGTGCCACCGGGCCCTCTGACCACCACCAGTAGGCAAACACGGGGTTAGTATCTTGCCCAAGGATATTTGGCATGCAGCCAGGAGGCAGCCTGGGATCGAACCACCAACCTTCTGATTAGTGGCTGACCTGCTCTGTCACCTGAGCTACAACCACCCCAGTGTTGGAGAAATTGTTTTTAAATCACATCAAACTTTTTTTCTGGCCCTGAATTTCTTGCATCCATACCAAGATATATGAAATTCGGCAATAACATCCTTATATCAACAAGAACAATGAACGCTTAACCACTAATGGAAATGGACAAGATGGAGATACAACAAACCCCAAACAGGCAAAGAATCAAAAATAAATAACAGGGAAGAAAGTTGTTGCGAGTCAAAAGAAAGAGGGAGATGCTATGACAGGAATGAGAAGCCCACCCATGTCCACATTAATGTGCTGCATTCCAACATGTCACCCTCTCACAGGAAGAAAGGCCCAATTTACAGGCAACATAGTAGCCCCACTGTTCCTTTATGATCTGCCTCTGAAGACCGAGTGGTTTTTCCCCCTTCCAGGATCTCCTGATGTGAGGCATCCTTTAAATCTAAAGGAGGGACCCCCAATTACACTTTACATCCCAGTGTCTCAGCGGGTGCTTGAGATGCCAATGAGAGATATAGCCTGGAGGTCATGAGGCTGCCAGGTTTGATTTAATCTTTCCTGAGTGTCTGTGTATTGTGAGCGATGGCAGGAAACATCTTAGTTTATGTCAATCGAAGCTTAAGAGAATGTAAATATGATTCCTAAGTGTCCCGCAATAAGCAGTTTGAGCTTCAGGAACCACTGACAGTTTTTAACCAGATTCATGGTGAGTACATATTTAAAAAGACTAAAATTACATGTGAGTTAAAAATGATACTGTGTGTTATTTATAACAGTTTATCAATCCAGCTATGAGTGCATAGCTTAGCATGTAGCACTGGTAACTTCTGATCAAACACAAACATGGAAAAGTCCACTGGCACAAAGCAGCTGATTTTACAAATGAAGATAAAAAGATACTAAAATAAACATATGAAGTGGTCAAGCTCACAATACAGGATGAAAGCAACAAAACAGCCACACACAAAGCAGCAATGTAAGTTTGTGTGTGTGTGTGTGTGTGTGTGTGTGTGTGTGTGTGTGTGTGTGTGTGTGTGT